CACGCACACACACACACACACACACACACACACTCACCCCGAAGATGCCCTGCTTCTTGCTTAGGGTCCCGCCGCTCAGTGTCCAGAAGTAGACGTGCGACTTGCCGCAGGTGACGATGCTGCCGCTGTCACTAGGGCTGAACTCCGCCGCAAACACGGCCTCATTGGTGGTCTGGGGATGTCAGCTGACCGTGAGGGGTGTGGCCACACGCATGGGCAGACACACAGGTAGGCACACACACAGACCCAACCTCGCATGCAGAGGGGGGCGTACAGATGTGAACAGGCACAGCTATACACAGGGAGCATGCCTAGGGGGCGCCCTATTCAGGGTAAAGCAGAGCCCACACCTGGCACTGGCAGACAAAAAGTACCAATTTGTACCTTTGAGGGTACAATTACTTGTCACTGGGGCTGTACCCTCAAGGGTCTACCAGTTGTGTCTCAGCTGTAGGTAAATGTACCTTTTACGGTACTGAAATGAACTCGGAGGAACATTTCTGTCCCATTGGGAGTTCGTTCATGTCGTTTGTACCTTGGGGAACAAATCTGTCCCGGACTGAACCTTTTTTCTGACAGTGTGCCCCCGCAATCGCAGCTGTGACTGGGGGTCTAGAAGCACCTCCGCTCACCTCCTGAGGTAGGCAGACCAGGCTGCACCCCAACCCCCACAACCCCCCCTCAGCAAGGCACCAGCACAGCCTGCCAATGAGGAAGCAGGGAGTTTATGTCAAACAGCCCCTTTTGCTGTTTTCAGCTCTGAGAGGCATTTAATGAAGAACTGAAACCGAAAGACCCTGCAGCAGGTTTGCAGAGGGGGTGGGAGGGCGCAGACAGGCCCAGGGCCCACACGGTGGAGGTCCGAACCCCCACGCAGCAGCACATGGCTCTGCCCCGCCCCCGACACGCTTCCCAGCATGCACTGCGGCTCGAATCCTGGCTTATATCCTAGCAAAGGAGGGGGAAGGAGACAAAAAAAGAGCTGGCAGCCCCCAGGCGATTAGGATACGTGATGTCCATAGAAAAGCCACACCCCAGATATGTATGCTTCTTGGCAACAGAGTCTTTTCAGCAAGAAGAATATGACGTCACCTCCCCACTTCCCCAGAAACCCCGGATGCAAATATGTTGGATAAATATTTACACAGTTGCCATGACAACTCAGGGAAAACTGCTTTCGGGGGAAGACTTTCAGGGAAGGCTTTAGTCCAGCCCGATGGCCCCCTTCACAGCAGGCGTTGCCACGTCTTGTTAAACTGGTCTTTTCTCCTGATTTGTAAAATAATGATATTTGTAGTGAAAGTCCTCAAGCACCCAGCAAATCCGACCACTTGACATCTAGTGCTTAATGAGGCTTAATCTCTAGTGAAGTGGTAGTGCATGGTGAAACTGCCAAGAAGGAAGCAACAAGCTCCACCATGATCTCTGCATGAAGAAGTGAGAAGCTGCACTATGATCTCTGCATGAAGAAGAGAGAAGCTGCACCATGATCCCTGCATGAAGAACACTACAAACTCCACCATGATCTCTGCATGAAGAACAATACAAACTCCACCATGATCTCTGCATGAAGAACACTGCAAACTCCACCATGATCTCTGCATGAAGAACACTACAAACTCCACCATGATCTCTGCATGAAGAACACTACAAACTCCACCATGATCTCTGCATGAAAAATCTACAAGATGCACCATGGT